GCTGGACCTGGCTTAGCCAATGGCATCCAAAACCCCAGCATCATGAGCATCAGCTGGACCTGGCTTGGCCAATGGCACCCCCAAAACCCCAGCATCATGAGCATCAGCTGGACCTAGCGTAGCCAATGGCACCCCAAAACCACGGCATCACGAGCATCGGTCAGCAAGGCTCGAGAGCCCACCAGTTTCTACATGTTCAACATCTGGAGCCCTGCCACTGTCTGGCAGTCGCAGGACCAAAGCGACTGTGCTTTGAGGCTCCCATCACCATCCCCGCACATGTTTTTCTTGTTTTTTTCCATCTCTCTCTTTCTCTCTCTCACATCAGCCTGCATTCGGTTGGAGAAGGTCAAAAACTCCTCCTCGTACTTGGCTGCCAGCCTCGGTCTCAAGAAGCTCTGAGTCTTCACAGGCACAAGCAAAGATGTTAGCGTTCGCAGTTCGAGCCGATTTGAGCCGGGCTGTTAGCGTTAGGTCCCTGACCAGTCCATGAGCGGGACCGTCTCTTCCCTGCCCTGGAAGAGCTCCTTCTTCAGCATGAGGATGGACTCCCCGTAGTGCGGGATGCAGACCGTGAGTCCGGGAAAATATGGAGCCCGGAAGGGTCGCGGCACTGGCAGGCCAAGGCCTCTGGACAAAGCCAGAATCCGCCACTGCACATCAGGATTTGCTGGCCAGTGCGGGTCGTGCATGCAGCAGTACGTCTTGAAACCCACTTCAAAAGCTGTCTTCTCACGGAAGATGTCAGGAACCTTCACCTTCCGCCGAGGTTTCGGCGGAGGCTTCTCCCGAACTGTTGTGGCTGCATAGCTACCAGTCATGAAGTCGGACTCCTCCACGACAATGCCAGCAGCGGCAGCGGCTACTGGAGTGACAGCCTCACGCCTTCGCTTGGCCAAGGGTTGTCGCAGTTGCCTCCAGTAGACCTGATGCCCTGACTCACCAGACTTGAAGGACAGGTCTCCCATCAAGTGGTTGTCAATCTTGTCTTCGTAGCGCATGTACTCTAAAATCCTGTCCCAGATTGCAGGGAAGAACGGGGAGAACTGCGCCACCTGCTCACCTGATCGTCCGTCAGTGCCGGCAAAGGAGTACGGCAAGACCTCCCGGGTTGCTGGGGATTTTCTGCTCCAGTACTTAAGAAGCTCCTGATGTGGCATCGCAAGCATAGGCAACACTCACACAACAGCAACTCTCACGTGACATCATGCCATGACAACCCCCGTGAAGCAGACAAGTTTGCAGGACTTCGTTGCCAGTTGAGGCGAGCCCAGGCCTTGCGAGAGAATCGCTCCGGAAGCTTTGCAACGGAGTCCTGTTCAGCGAAGCGGGCGCGGCACAGCAGCCCGGCCCCCAGCCAAGCAGCGAAGGCATGTCCATACAGAGTTAGACAGTGCGGTAGCTTTATTCCCCTAAGCAACAGAAAAAAGATGTTGTTGCCTTACGGCTCCCCTGGTCCTCTAGGGCCCAGCTGACAACTCGGCAGCCGCGCTGCACAAAGACGGTTGCCACGCCCAGCACTGAGCACCTCTAACTAACTTGCTCATGGTTGGGCATGGTGATCTGGGCTTGCTTGGGTGTTCTGTTAAGATGCATCGCAGGATTCAAAGTGGGACATGTCCTCCTTGCTCGGATCACTTTAGGTTCCGGACGTGTGCAACAGAACTGATAGATAGGCACAGTCAGGCACAGTCTCGCAATCGGAAAGACTGCAAGGTCATTGCCCCAAATCCGTGCTGGATCCGAACCTACCATCACAGAGCCATCATCTGTCGCATTACCGGGGTGCGGCCACGGCGCATTAACGTGAACCACAACTGGGTGTCCGAGATGAAGAGCACCAGGGTGGTGAACCACAGCACAAACCATAAGAGGAAGTCTGATCCCCATTCAGTGCTGTAGTAGATCTCCGACAGTTCGGACACGGATTCGCGTCCAGGAAGAGCAATTTGAAGAGCGACGGTTGCATCATACATGGCTCGGAAAATTATTAGCCCAAGCATGAACTTCACCGTGAAAACTAATATCCAAAACAGGTAGCGCACCATGCGGATGTAGCAGGGGACCGGAGTCAAGTCCCACATCTTGTCTGAGTGGCTGCCACAGCTGCGCAAGCAGCTTCCAGAAGGGATCAGCAGCAGGTAGATCAACCCCGTGCCGGACAGCGCAAAGTGCAAGACAAGCAGGGGCGCAAGCGGTAGGCCAAATTGGCTGTCATCTCCCAGTGTGGAGTCCCGAATGGCCACGTAAGTAATGATAGGCAGCGTCCTAAGCCAAGAAAACGTCAGTATTTCGCAGACGGTTTCCCGTCGTTTATGCATGACTTGTGGAGTTCAATATTCTGAGGCAAAAGCCACCACACCGTCTTCCAAATGCCTCACATGGATTCTCAAGCAATGGAATCCCCAACCAAAAGCCAATGCAACTCTCCAGGGTTAATTCGAGCTGCTTCTGCTAACACACACACAGGGCGCTTGCATCCTTAGGATGCGCCCAGTGACTTGCCACCGTGCACAAGCCCAAAGCAGGGCGTGCAGTGGCACCACCAACGCCACCGCGGCAAAGCGTACAGGCGCGCTTTGCCCTAACAGAGGCACCTTGCCATCTGCAGATGTTTCTGGATCACCCGTGACGGTACCTCAGTTTTATTTACGTATAGGGAAAGCAGATCCCAAGAATGCCGGAAAGCTTAAGGTTGGGGAGCCCAGTATACTATACTCAGTATACAAACAGATGAAAATGATATGTGGTCAAACATCTGTAGCCCAGCAGCAAACCCCTGCAAAGAACAGAAGCAGGTGAAGCAGAACCACTCTGTGCGTTGTTGCAAAAACGCCCCAAAGCGAATGGATCTCTCGGTGTGTCTTGGTTTCAGCAGCTTCAAGCGTTACCTTCAAAGACCACTCTGGAGAGCAGGCTCAGCACAAGTTCTTTTCGCAGTGCTGTCATGGCATGGATTTTGTAACCGGCGCCTGCCAGTCGACTCTGGGTAGCGCCAAAAACCGTCGCTCATGCTGCAGGTCGAAGAGGCGAGTACCATCCTGAAGCAGCAACCCCTCGACCATCCGGCTCGGATCACAGAAAAATTCGTCCCAATCCTTGGATGGGTGGAGCAGCCTTTCGCATGGCCTCACTTCTAGAACCAGATGCCTGACAAAACAGCTGATGCTGGGCCAAGACTCATCGTAGTTTGCTACCTGTGCAGGTGGATGAAAGGTGAACGAGGAGCGAGCAGCGACAGAGTGACCGCGAGACAGCGCGCGACAGCAAGAGTCATTTGACCAACCTGAGGCTGCGGCATCTGGCAGCAGAAAATTGTCAAGCCCAGGTTTGAGCTTCTTTTTGTCCTTCTGGGTGTTCTGGTCTATGTCGACATACTGATACCTTGCGCTTGGCATGCTCGAACTGTGCGGATGGATCTCAAAACCTGCAACAACTGAACAGCAATCCCTGCCAGACTGCCACTCATCAAAGACCACATTGTAGATCGGACGGATGATCTTGCCGAGGAAAAGGTTGCTCCTGCATCGCTTCAAACTTGTCATTGTCATCCATCCCCCACACACAGTGCTAACAATAGCAATCATAGTAGAAATCATAATAGTGGTAACTATAGGAATACTACTTTTAATATTGAGTCTGACCCCAAGCATAGTTCGACAGCTCCTGAAGGGGGCCCCTGGCAAGCTGGGCTCTGGGATGGCCACCCCGTAGACCTCCTCGAAGTCTGCAGGGTTTGCAGCTAAGGCCAGCTCTGTGATGAAGTAGACTGCCTGCCCACCACTGCTGTCCACTGATTCTAAGTTTTGGTCTCAAAATTGATGCTAGCTGGCTGAAAAACCATCTGGCTTACCTTATTGCATGTGCAGATACAGGTAGACCAGCATACCGAAGCCTTTTCTGGCTTTGTTTGAGAAGGCCCAATGCCAATTTCCGGAGGAAGCCCACTGCGCTGCGTGAAGCTGTTATTGGTATGTCTCTCTATGAGGCGCCACGCCTCCGGCATGAACCTCACATTACCAGCTTCGCCCCAAACCAGCAGATAGACAGCCATTTCTGTCAGCTGCCGCGATATAACCTCGTTTTCAAGAAAAGGAATTAGCAACAGACGTGGTACGCATGTCATGCCGAGCGCAACGTCCGAGAAGCAGAGACATTTCAGACTGTAGGCTTAGGATTGCAATGACAAAGCCGGACGGCGACTTGATTGGCGCCCCGTTCCTGCTAGAAGATAGATAGATCAGCCGTTTACTCAAAGAATTCCCAACGTACTTGTAACAGCTCGTACTTCTGACCCTTGATAGCTTACCCTTGTACACTCTGGAGCAGAGCACAGATGGCAAACCGCAACCTAGAGGCTGCAGCCGCAGCAGGGTCCAGGCCCTCTCCTAGGTGCTCGCATTGGGGTTTGATGGGTTGTTCCATGCTCTATGTATCTTTGTTGGAGGTTGCCTGCTCTCGCGACTACGATTGAAAGGCTTTCGGATATGCGAGACACTGGACTACAAGACTAAGCTAAAGAGACGGAGAGCTCACTTGCATCCTCATTCAATCCCTCTACCAAGGGATTTCTCGTGAGAGTTGTATCAACTCATGCCAGATAAATAATCTCTTGACATTTTCTTGCAACATATGATGCAAAACCAGCATAGCCTAACAGAAGACACGTGTTCACTGTTGCGTCTGTCCATCTTGAAAAGCGCAGGATGCGCTGACCTATATTGAGGTATAGTTCCGAACGTTGTTTCAGTCACCTAGTGCCATTGCAACACTGGTGATTATTCCTACGGTTGCTGTGAACGTTCAGCTTTGACTTTGCATTTCTGCTGCCGTGCTCTCAGGCACCTTGCTACTGGGGTATAACAGTACCAGTAACCTACCAGTGCTGGAATAAGCATATGCAGATGTGCCTATTCACTGTTCCACAATTGGGGAGAAACTCGCATCGGACCTGATTTGTATGAGAAGCCTCATCTAGAGACTTCATGGAACTTCCAGCATAGAACATCAACATGGCCCAGTCTCGCTGCAATGGCTCCCACTTGGCACCCCCGACAGGCCGAGGCCTCGCATTGCCATGGACTTGGAAGGGTCCAAGTGAGGATTCTTGTGGGGTCCATACAATTAAGGTTCGTCAGCTTCTCCAAGCAACACCAATGCTAGACCATGTGCAGAAAATCTGTTCGTGCGGCCGCGCCTGTGGCTTTATTCCCTATGTACTTTTGGCTTCGCATTAATCCCCTCGATTGATCTGTTTCCGGCTAGGGGGGCCAGAATAACAATGCCCAAAATGTAGGGAAAATCTTTCTCGAACCAATTGAAAGCTAAGTCAAGTCACTGTCCCTAAGAAATTCAAATCTTTGGGGAGTATCATGATTGTGGGTCTTGTTATAATTGTGTTCCGGCCGCGGGATGTTATAAATGTGGGCCGAGTCCCTACGTAATGTGAAGTCAATACTAATGCAAAAAAAACCGAAGATCTGCACCAACTCCAGCTGATGGTTCTTGCACGTGCCCACTTGGGCAGAGTGCGTGCAGGTCAGGGTATGTGTGTTGAGGAAAGCTAATGGACAAAGAGGTTCAATTGCTGTAGTTTCGGGGCTACTTTTGGTTCATGGCATTTGCATGATGTAGCCCAGCGGCTCATCCTCGGACAGCGGAGGCACTGCAGCAGACTCGTGATCAGCCAGCTTTGCCCGCCAGCGCAGGAACCCATCCATCATTTCGTAGTAAAGTTCTGCCACAGCCTTTGCAGGGCAAGCAAAACAGAAGCAGGCATGCAGAACTGCATGCAGGGCCACTTGAAGCAGAATGAAACTCTACCCTACCGTCATCCAAGGCCTCTTGCAGCATGATCCCCTCGTTGACAGATGAACCCTCACCCATGGCGCGATCAGCAACCATGGCACACTGGGAGCGCCACAGGGACAGCAGGTGCTCATATTGATTCCGCACACTATCAACTTGAAAATCGAAGGACTCCTTCAGCGCCCCGAACAGGCTTGACGTTGAATTCGCAAATTCCCCGGCACCAGGTAGGACACGAAGGCAATGGCGCTCAGTCCATTCCAGCTCCAGCTGTTGTTTCAGCTCGCTGCGGCAGGACACGCGAGGGGTACGGGATCCAGGGCGGCTGATGAAAGTTTCATCACCTGACTTGAGATTCATTGAGAAAGCATCTGCTCCCCAAAACCAACAACGCATGGATGCGGCTTAACATCATCTCACAAGGCTGCTTACACTTCTTGTTTGTTGGAACTGGTTCCATGGCTGTATAGCCTTCGGGGTCTCTGGCTGTCAGTTTCGCCTTTGTTGCACTCTTTGATTCTGGAAATTCTGGTTCACGGTTCGCATGTTCATGACTTCGGTGGAAACCACCGTCAGAAGAATATTAGAGGATCCGAAAGCAATCACAACACGCATTCAGGCCGTGATGCGCTCCGTCATTTGCTCAGGCTCCTTTGTCGGCTGCGGCAGTATCCAAGAGGAGACAACGGAGATCGTGAACAGAATGGCAAGGCAAACTACTGGCACCAGCAAAGCAACCTGACAGCCCAAAGCCAGTCACAAAGCCCAAAAAACGGTTTCTCATCCTACTTTCGAAGTGGTCAGAGCAGGTGTCTGCAGCTGGTGCCGGGCAGCAGTTGAAGCAGACCAGCTCGTGTCAATGCAGAATGGTGGACCTGGTAAGGTGCAGCACTTCCGGCCCTGCAGCATCACAGAGCCCCACCTGAGGAACATGCTGTCGTTTGATTGTCTTCGTTATTCTTAGGGAGGTCCAACAAAGCCTCGTGTAAGGAACCTTCTCTCGTCTTACCCGCCGAAATTTTACGAGTGGTAACTGCATCCCTCATCCACTCCAGCCAGAAACTCTGCTGGAAGAAGGCGAGCGGCGCATTGACTGCCAGGTTGGTAGCTTCAAGGATTCTCATGCTGGTCTCATTCTCGGATAGCCTCCACATGGCCGCCTCGGTTTGCTCCAGCGACCTCGGCACCGCAAAGGCCGCGAGATGGGTGATTTGTTTGCACATTGGCACATGGGTGCGGTGAGCCCAAGTAGCGCTGTAGCATTGGCGCACGTCTCCGAGGCCAAAGAGCCTTTTTCAAGCCACTGCCTCTGTCATTACGCGGTGCAAGGAAGGCGATGACTGCAACATGCTACCATGACCCGCCCAGGCTTACCCTTGCAAGTTCAATGCCCACGCGCGGTGCCGTCCAGTTGCAAGCTATCTATGTTGTATTGATCGCCCAGAAGCATCATCAGGCCTGTCAGCTGCAAATTGGATGTTTGCCCGTGTCAGAGGCCCTAGAAAGAATGGCATAGGTCCTCCATGCTTTGGCAAAGAGAAGTCTCTTCAAGCTGCACAAACCATGCATCATGTTGCAAGCACCGGCCTCTGTCCAATTCTGAGTCTCCAGAACCCAAAGAGTCAAAATCCTTGATGGACTTTTTGACCTGCTTCCCAGCGAGGAATCAACATGTCCCTGCGATGCAAGTGGATGCTCCTATGCAATGGCAGAACCCTCCAAAAGCAGGCTCCTGCCGGCCCCGCCTTGTCACAGTTCATTTGAATTAAGCGCTTCATGCTACCAATAGAATAAGATGCTGGAACGCTACACCTCAGATCAGCATTTGAAAGTCCAGTAAGCGACAACTACCACACCTTCTATTCAGATGGAAAAGCGCAACCATGGCACACGAAGCTCACTTTGAAAGCAAAGATCTGCGCTTTGGCAGCCATGAGGGCCATGTAGAAAATAGCCCGACTCATGGAAGCGGCCTAGGCCAGAGCCAATCGATTGCAACAGCTTGCACAGAGCCGTGGCCTTTAGGCAATTCTACGGAGCTGCTGGTTGCTCGGAAAAACCTTTTGTTTCCCTTGCGTCTGTCTCCACATCCGAGGTACGCAAACAGCGAATCCTGCATGCTCGTTTGGTATCACTGGCCGCCCTGCTTCTGCAAGCAACAGTGGGAGAATGCAAGGCGACCCTGATAAGAGCCAGTCCCCGTGACAGGCAGCATGTGAAAGGTATGCTTGGTGTGCTTGGAACCCTGGAGAAGGGATCCTGCTCGTTGGAAGTCTGTCCCATGATGTGCAGCCAACCTCAAACCCCCAAACCTGGGCAGGAACAAGCTTACTTCCTGAGGCGCCAGCCATGTTAGCCGGCAGCTGGCGGGCAGCGCTCTTGTTGGCACTACCCACCTTCCATCCTGCTGTACATCTTGGACCGAGTACGGGGGAGTTGCAGCAGCAAATTATGTTGCAAGCTCGTGTAGACTCATACGTTGCAGTATTGAAGAAGGCCTTGGAAAGCCAGAGCCTACTTTTCTTGAGTTGCTGGAAACCAGAACGGCACGATTCTGAGACTGTCACCGGCACGCCCTACGGTGCCTGGCGTATATACACAACCTACAAATCCTACGCTGCGAGTCTGGGTCACTGCTGCGCAACTTTCCGCCGGTTCTCGATGAAGGTCTCACCTTTGAGCAGCATGCAAGCGGCTGATGGGCACTCAAACACTGCCTGACGCCCAGCCCACAGAAAAGCATGCATGCCAAGCTCGCAGCGCAGCTTGTGTACGGTCTTATTGGCGATATCATTTATGACCTCTGTGCTTCGCAGGTTGCCCAAGCAAGCCCAGCGGCAGATAAAGTGTAAGGCATTGGCAGAGTCTGGCTGGTTCTTCAGCTTGGGCTGCTTCCGAAGCACCTCTCCGAGGTGTGAGGCAGGCAGTCAAGCCTTCAAGTACAGAGTCGGGTTGCTGACATGCGTTGCTATCGCGTTTGCCAGCCCCCCATCCTTGCGCTGGATCCTGGGCATCACTGTGAGCAGCACACGCAGCTGACAGGCTAACACGTAAGCTACACAGCAGCAGAGGCACGCCAAAGCGTTGGGTTGATTCAACTCAATGCGCAACCGAGGATCAGGTCCCATTGGTTGCTGGTGCTATAAAAGTTTCGCATGATCGTGACCTCCAGCCGGGAAGAAGCGCAACAATGCAAGGAAAGCATCATGGGTCGCCCTACCAAGGTGCTGACGGAAGTGTCCAGTGACACAGCGTAGTGCCACCAGCCCTTGGGAGCAACGATTGTCTCGCCCTGCTCGACCACAGCCATGTAAACAGTTGCACGTCGAGAATCCTGGCTTCTCAAGTTTGACGCGTGAGTCGTGGCTTCTAGATTTACTCAGATCATGCGCGTGAGTTGTGCCCGCGCTACACAGCACAAACGTGCACCAGATTCCGGCCATTTCTGGAACACATCAGGGTCCAAAGGATCTAGCCTTGGCTCCGCAAGCAGCTTTCCCATAAAATGAGTCTTGGACCTCGCTTCCTCAAGAGTCTCAACATGTCCCAGTGGCCACGAGCCGTTCATGAGACCTTCGTCGCCTTCGAAAGGATGCAAGTGCTCACCGTCCTGAGTCTAACCAAAACCACTCTTTGAACAACGGCCCACCTACAATTCTGCTCATGTCTGTTCAATTCATGTCGAGCGGTCAAGCACCCCGTTTTGTTTATGGCTTTGACCTCTGCAACCTTTGCTGCATCCCATACCTGCCGTGCATGGCGGGCTGAGCCGCTCGTTGGGCCGCTATTCTATGTACATGGACACCGCAAAGATAACCCACGCGGTACGCAAGGCGCTCTTGAAAGGCTTCACTCATGCGGTCAAAGCCTTTTGGCTTTAGCTTGCGGAAAGGCGCAAAGACCTTGTGGCACTCAGAAATACCTGAGAGGTCTGCAGCTTCAGCTTGGCCTTGAGGATTGGAGAGTCTATGTAGCTCCAGACATCCCGGCCTATTTTGTTACGCACTGAGAGAGCCTCTGCGGGCTCCATGATGTGCATAAGCAGAAGACCCAAGCCGAATGAATCACCATTGCGGGCACAGAAGTGCAAAGGTGTATCTCCTCAGCAGCGAGCCCATGTTGAACATCACTTACGGGCTGCACAGAAGCCAGGAAAATTCGCGTCTGTAGCTGAGGGCCGAGCCGTTCACATCCTGGGCCAGGGGGTCTGCTCCGAAGCCGACAAGGACCTGCATGATCTCCCGTTGCTGTACCTGCTGCTGCTCCGATGACCCAGCCCCTTCAGGGCTGTTGATGGCTCGGGTCAGCAGACGTGCGGCAATGTGCAGGGCCGTCTCATATCTAGATGGTGCAGGCTCGAACTCCGCCGGGATCGTCACCTCCCCTGTGCAAATATTAGGATCCATCCTTCCACGCTCCAGGAGACGGCGTAGGCACTCAGGGTGTCCAAAGCCAACCGCCTTGTGCAAAGGCGTCAGCCCAGCAACGTCATGCGTTGGCAGGACGATCTCAGGTGTTTCAAGAAGCCTCAAAGAAGCTCTCAAAACAGAAAGAAGTCAAGGAGAAGGACAAGCTATGACAAGCTGGCTGGCAGAACAGAAAGGCATTGTACCTGCTGTCAAGCCTCTTCTCCAACACGTGTGCGTGTCCAGCAGTGCTTGCCAAGGCCACTGGAGATGCACCCGTTTTGTCTACTGCGTTAACATTGGCGCCAGCCTTCAGCAATGCCATCACCAGTGGCAGCGCGCCAGCTGCACAGGCTATGTGCAAAGCTGTTTGACCGATAGAGGTCAGCGGCTCGTCAATGCCGATGACCACCAAAGCTTTCATAGCCACGCCAACGTCACCCCGCTGAAGAATCTGAACAAGTTCTGACCGTTTGACCTGTCTTGACAAGGGCAACTAAGAACTAGTCGTCCATACAAGCATTGGCATAAACATCTTCTGCACCATGAGGCAACTGAGCCACTTCAGTCTCCAGGACAGCCTGCGTCGGGCCAGCCCTGCCACGACATCAATTCCACAGCAAGTAACACACTAGCATGGATACAGATCTGCAAATCTGGCAGCTGCATAGCTCTCCTCTGCTGTGCTATTGCTCCAGCTATGGAAGCCCCCAGCAGCAGTACCGATCTTCGCCCAGCCTGCATGGCTGACACTGGCTCAAATCATCTCTTGGGAGTCACAAGCAACCCAAGCCTTCGCAAACCAACATCCAGTTGTTTGGAAAGAGCCCAGCTGGCGCAGCAAACGGTGCATGCCACTGCCACCCCTCGTTCCAACTGCAGGTGCATCTGTAAAGTTGGGTGGCAAGAGCTTGCAAGGCCCTGCACGTGACAATTGCTGCTGCAGTAACACATTGATCAAAGACATGACATGCAAACCCGTGTCTGTTCGCAGGGCTGTCTGCTTGGCTGCTCTGACTACCTCTGGCGTGTACTTCTTGCAAGCTGGCATCACTAATTTCTAATATTAGTGCTGCTTGACCTGCATGCTACATGTCCAAAGCCGGGGCTCTTCGATGCATGGCGTAATCACTTTTCTTCACAAATGAGGCGCTTTCAGGCGTAGGCTGGTGAAATCTCTGCTCGAAGCCACTGGCTTTCTGAGGGCCGGGCTGAGGGCGGAAAGCACCTGACATACAAAACATTCCAACAGCCTGACACGACGCAACGCTGGTGGGCCGTTGGCAAACAGAGCTTGACAGCGTGAAACAGAACACGTATGCTCCTACGCAGACCGGTTTTGCATGGTCTCTCCTTGCCCCCATCCTGAGCCAAGCACACGAACATCTTGCGGCCTGCACACACTTCAGTGAATGGCTGAATCAGTGACACTCCTACATGTCAGCTCAATTCCACTAGGCGGCACAAAATATGCTTCAACGACAGTTGTGAAGCTCGGCTGCTAGCGCAAGGAACGAAAGTACAGCACTTCGATTGCATTCGCTTGGCCCGTCCATGCCTTGTATCTGGGAGAGCCAGGCCTGAGCTCCAAGCGAAGTGTCTTTTTTGCAGCATGCGTTTTTGGCAGCAACTCTGCGAACAACTATTGCTGGCCTGCCTTCAATTAGCTTACAAGTTGAAACATGGAATGGCGCAAGCTCTCATAGGCATCCACCACCTTCTGAGTAACCATGATGTTCTAGCGAGCAGCATGCGCGCCACCGTTGTCATAGTGAAGCCTCGTGATCGCCCCCTTTGGCGAAATAAAGATCTTTGTCAAGTCCCAGTCCTGCCACAGCTTGGCTAGTACCCCTTTTGCCTTGTTCGTGAGACTCCCTCTTGGCAGGACAACTCGTACTAGGGGATGTCCAGAGCTCAGCTGGCCTCATTCTGCAATTTTTCCTTCTGCTCCTCTGGATCAGGCCTTGGCAGAGGGTGTGCTCAAGATAGGCAATTTTAAGCAAGACTACATGTCAGAATGCATGTTACTCCTTGTCTCAGTGACAATACTTGAAAGTACTTCAGCGCGTTGTATAGGCTGCTTGCTGAGTCTTTGTCTTGGCGCTTGGATTCTGTCTAGAAGGGGGTGCCGCTGCTTTTTTCCTAGGTCTATGTGCCGGCCCTCTTGCTTGCCGGGAGACGGCTGATAGCTGCCGCGGGCGGTGAGGCCCTCGAGGAGAGACTGAGCGGGTCGTCAGCAGAAACGTGGGCCGGTTCTTGCAACATGCATCTATCTAACTAATGCGCGTTGCAGACATGCATGTGCAGCTGCAATCCGGCACTATAACCCAACACAAGTTTCAAAGGTCAGTCAAATGTTTCAACCTGGCTTCAACACACAGAGTCTTCCCTGACTATGTAATCTCCATATTTTGTTTTACTGCCCTCTTCAGAGACATCTGCCATTGGATTGACAAAAGGACGAAACATGGAGTGGCCAAGCTCCTGACCTCACGAAGAGCCTCGGACTCTCGAATCAGCAGGGAGTTGAGGTCCTTCCGGGGCAGAGGTTGACGCAGTCAACTACCAAATATCTAGACGAAGCATTCGGCTGATGACAGCAACGAACACCTGAGGCTGGTCCTCGATAACCATATCTGCAGATGCTGCAGCGTCAGCAACTCCCTCGCCACCAGGAACCACAAAATTCCGAAGCCAAGGCAGCTGGGCAAACGCCGGCCAACCGTTGAGATACAGTCTTGGGCAACTAGGGGCGTTCTCGTCAGTGCTGTCCGGGTCAAGTCTTTCCAAATCCCTAATGTACTCGGTGTACTCGCCCAATGATGTTTCGAAGACAGGTGCTTCCCACAGGTTCTCCTGGCGGGTGAAGATGGGGCCCAGCCATTTCACAAGCTGACGCGTGTGCCCCAATTTCGCTGTGAGCCATGAGAGGTCCCATGTGTCCCGTGCAGGCCAGTCTTCTTGCATATCAACAACTATGAAAGGCTCCTCTGCTGTACCCACATCAAAGCGGTCCATCTCGCTGCATCTTCGTCGGGCGACGCTCCGCGCCGACTGCAGCATTGGTGGCACCCGACCGCGTGCTGTCTCCCGGCAGAAGTTGAGGTAGTATTCAGAGGGCGGCATCGGCGCCACTCTGGCCAACCACCAGGGCTGCTGCAAGCAGTCTGCCTTGGTATCTGCTACCTCCTTTGGCCTCTGACTTCGAGTGGCCAAAGGAGTGCCATCTACCTCCAGCACATGCACCTCAAAGAGGAGATCACTGCTTGGTGGCACTATGTGTGGCACACCTTTGTCTCCGTATCCCAGCTCTGCGGGAATGTGGATCTCTGCCACAGACCCCAGCGACAACGATTTCAGGCCAAGCTCCATGCCTGGAATGATTGCGTTCTTGCCAAGGAGCATTGTCATTGGAGGTTGACCTTTGCCCTCCGTGCTCTCAAAAACGCACCCGCTTGGCAGGCGGCCTACCACATGGGCAGCTACAGACCTAAGCAAGAGGCAGCTTGTAGTCTGCACAGCCAAACTGATACTGATCCCAGCGGAGGATTTGATGCAGCTAGGAGTCTTTTGTGGGAAGTGACGTTCATCGCCTTCTTGCAGCACCTCGCAGTCGACCAGGCATCAAGGAGAGAAAACATACGCGAGTCCACCTCGAGCCTCTAGCTCAAGCACTTCTTGCCTCTGAAGATACCTCAACCCGCTCCTACGTGGTTGGGCGGCATCTAGCCGCGGGAGCTGCAAAGAAAGCAACTGGAAACTTATGTAATGTAATCAATGAAAACAAGTGTGGCGTGAATGGGCTTGTAGAGACAGACGGAAGCAACCAGTCACAGTCTAGTAGTCTAGCATTAAGCCCTGTCGAGACGCGGAAACCACGACTCCATGCGAGAGCTCCAGGCGGCGTTGCACCGCGGGCGGCGGAGCAGCAACCATCTGGACCATGTCGCAAGTCTTGTTGCCGAGCGGGCGCTCAACTGCCAAGTGGTCCTCGCTACTCTGCGAAGCCTGGTTGCTTAGTTTGATTCCCTGGAGGGTTGTCAACTTGGGCCTTCTCCGATACATTTTACTCAGCCCATGGCTTTTGATTCTGTTCTTCTGGCTGCTGCAACATTGGGAGTACCGAGGAGCCCATCTCTCGCCACTACGCATGCAGGAACGTCCCCTGGGGCGCACAAGCAACTGATTGATTGGAGCAGTCAAGCGATTCTTTGAGTATCTTAGTGCGAATGTTGGGCTGCCTGCTGCGTTCACAGGAGATTGCCTCTGCTGGCGCTGTAGAATGCTATGGGCAACTTCAGAGTTCAGACGTCGAAGGCAGCTGGGCTGGCAAAGGACCGCAATGCAATCACTCGCACAGCCCCACTCCAGGCTCCAGCTGCAACGCTGCAGACAGCATTCTAGCACTGTCCCTGGACTTTAAGCATGCAATCACTTCCCCACAGCTGGAGTCATGTGCAACGTGCTCTGAAACATTCTCACCGCTCAAGCCTCGGGCTTCCTTTTTGTTCCAGTGCCTCGCCTGGCCTGCAACCAGAGAAGTCCACGATGCGACATTGGAGTCATTCCACTGTACACGTCGGTCCCACTTGGCGGCTGCCAACACTAAGGAACGGCATGCTCACAATGTCTGCCCTTCCGCAGTGTCCCTTCGAGGGAAGATGCGCCTTATTGGATGGGACTGTCAACTGTCATTTGGGGTTGAGCTGGCTCTGGCGGCTCTCGAGGGATTGCCTGCATGGACTTGGCATTCAGCTCGAGGAAGCGCCGGATGTATGTCTGGCAGACGGGGCCTTGATATACCGATTCGCGTTTTTCAACAAAAGCTTCTGCCGACAAAGTTTTAGAAAGCTTTGACTCGGTGAAACTGGAAGCTTCGTCAGTATAACCGTCGAACACAGGCACTGCACCGCCAGCCCTTGCTTTGGAAAATCTCGGAAATAGTGAAATAATGCATAATGGCACATAAAAATTGATCTTTGCTGCATCCAGGCGAATAATGGGTCTGTCAACTGAAGCCTGCACATACATTACGGTCGAAATCTCTGCAAGGGTTCAACGAACCTCCTAAACAACATGCCAAACGTCAGCAAGGAGGTTGTGCCGTGGGGCCGGGGTTTGTGTCTCAATTCTGCAGCGGCGTCGCTGTTCTTATGCTTATGTTCCTCATTTTTCTCCAATGTCTTTAGACTTTAGATTGCTTGGTGGTCTAGCTCTGCATTCTCGAACGTGAACAGTGAAGCATGAGTGCAAGCACAATATCAGTCATGCTTCGAATTGGGCTTGCGCCCTTGCCTCCATCCTGCCGAAATCACCTGCAACCTATTCCAAGGCCGAAGTCCAAAGGCTGGAGACGCGATGCTTGCCAGCTACGCGTGGGCATATTGATCCTGCAGCTGCATTTGTCAGGTGCTGCGGCGCGCTTCGCATTCGCTATATGAGCCGTTGGTTAGCAAAAGAAAAAAAGAACGTCACGATCATAGGCTTGTGCCACTAGCTACTCTTCGCAGCAGTTCCCTGCATCCTACAACACAGAACCAAAAACTTGCGCCGGCCCACGCTCCCCGGCAGCTTGGGAAGCTGAACAAATGTGCCCCCATGCGGTGCGAATTTCCCACGCCATGCACGTGCTGTCGCGACTGCTCCTCTAAGAGATACCGCAGAAAGCTGGAGTTTTGCGTTAATCTTGAGAGGTGCCTCGCATCCTGCACGGAAAATCAGAGCCTCCGTATGGCGGCTCGCCCTGAACCAGCTGTCCAGGTCGCCAAAGTGGGTTTAACCCAACCAGCATGGGCTGCAAAGGCTCCGCGCACATTGACCACAACAACACTCCAAGATGCAAACCGAGCGATAGTTTGCGTTGTTGCTCTTCAGCGTGGCGAAGAGCATGCATTATCATGCATTACTTGCGCACGGTCTCCCTAGACAGCCTCTTCTTTGCGAGTTCTTCCCGCATCCATAGCTTTTGCAAGCGCCCTTGACTGCACCGTGTAGAAAATGTTTATGGGCAACTCCTTCCCGGTGCTTTGCGGCGTGGGCCTGCAAACCAAGCATATCGGGTATTTTGTGCCGGGCCAGCAAGAATGAGGTTTCCCATCTTGCCAGCTCTAAAACGGCACTCGAGCAAATATGAAATGTCCAAACAGCCTGTGGCAGTTTTTCACTTTCTTGGGGGCGGGCGCGTAGACCTGTTGAAAACATTTGGAAAACTAAGTTATCAACCCTCGACATCCTCAACCAAGATTTCAGTGTCTCTGCCCCGAGATCACAATTCCTGGCAACCAAGGCCCGGGTATTCGCATCACCCTCTGCCGCTGGCTGGGGCGCAGCCTGGCTCTTACAGGCCAGAGCCCATTTCAGGGTCCGAAGAAGCTTTGATCATCTGCTTAGCTCATGAACTCCCAAGCCAATATCCCTGGCCTCTGTTCATAAGCAGCTTGATGTTGATTCCTTACATGAGGCGGGTGCAACTTCATTCACTCTTCTCTTCTGTGTGGGTGTTTGCGCGACAAGGGCCCTCAAGGGTACCGTGCACGTCTCGGAATTGGCCATGGTCTTCGAACTAGATTGAGAGACTCACGCGCATTGTGCCTCTTACAAGGCTGCGCTCAGGCCGCTGCCAACTGCTTGGGATCCAGACTCCATACCCGATCATCTGCGTCAAAGTGCACCAGGACCTGCAGAAACTTCAGTATTCCAATCCCGGTTGCGATCGACTTGACCATCACCACTACCACCGCCAGAGCCCGAAACTGATGACAACCAGCACTAGGAGTCACTAGCAGCAGCAATGACAGCGACTACGGCTGCTGTAGCTGACACTGTCAAGATCACTGCTCTCAACCCCAAACCAAATTACACTCCCCACCCAGGACCCCCTGTCGCCAGGCAGCTAGGTGGTGATAAGATGTCATGACGGAGACCGCGCTGAAAATCACACACTTAGGCTGCGCACTCCTGGAAGTTGCAAACTGCACTCTAAAAGCCTAGGCTACAGGCTACAGGTACTGTTTCTGCGTAATCACTCTGCCGCGAGTGGCTTGTTCGCACTTACACACACGAGCCCAGCAGAATGCCTGGCCAGTCCGCTCTCAGCAGGTTCTGGGGCCCCGAAAGGCCATTTTGGGGGCCTCTTATATCCAGAGAGCCTGGCCTTCTTAGTTGACCTTCGACGAACCTTCGAAACTAGCAGAATTCCTTGCCGCACTCCAACAAAGCCCGGAGCCCGGAAGGCAAGACTTCATGGGAACATGCACTTGCAATACGTCACGGAGCACGCCCCAGCCAAACATGTACACACAGGAATAGCAGTCAAACATCTGGCAAAGACGGGCAACAACTATGCCATTGACATCAGTTCAAAAAATCATCAAAGTTCATTAACTCAACCTGTGCAAGTCACTGGCCGATTGCCCATAAAAACTCTTTATGCTAGGACAAATCCATTGAACTCATGCATTTCTGGGGGCAGAAGGCTTTTCGGGGGTGGACAAAACATCTAAATGCCTTGGCACCCCCCCCCCACGGTACAGGGTGGCAGAAAGGCATTATTACTGTTACAAGGTATGGCCTTGCCAGACGCATGGCCAGGTCCAACCTGGGTTGGATGGCTCAGGAAACTGTCTGAGCTTTAGCCGCACATGCTTCTAGAGCAATGAGGGGGGTCCATTTGACAAGGAGTCAAAAAGCGCACTGAGACAGGATGAGACTCTGGTAGGTTTGCTCTGCACAAGAATCGCTCTTTTGGGCCGCTGAGGGGACCACTATGGTGCCCTCCTCCCCATCTGCCACGGCTAGTCTGGTCTCCTCGGTCGATGAAATCACTGCACCACGCCGTGCTGTACATTTGAAGGTGTAAATAGGTGTGAGTTGTAAGCGGCAGGCATCAAAGCTGCGAGAGCCAAAGACCTGGCCCAAGCAACGGACCTGCAGCATCACATCTTGCGAATGCGTCTGTCAGCGGGCATCCTGCACAACATCTGGTGAGTTCCAAGTACGGGGCTCTATCGCCCCGTGCGAATCCCAGGATCTTCTCCTGAACAGCTTCCTCATAGGCCTGGCTCACGCATGGAAATCCGATTTCTTAAGTTCCAGGCACCATGTCAACAGGCGTCACTTAATTCAGATGACATGTTTAAAGCCACTTGTAGCGTTTGTAGCTCGGAGGCGTGGCCGCACAGTCTGTACTCGTCCATGCTGGAGGACAGGATCCTCTTCAGTATTTTCGAACTCCCTCACTACTAGCAATGAGGGTGCCGCCTTTCCTCACCTCCGCCTCTACCAAGCTCCTACAAATTTGATAGTAGACGAAGAATGCAGTGTGCACCTCTGCGTGGACTCGACTGCTAAGGAAACTAAACTGGCATCACTTGCAAGCCACATTTTGGCCATGCGCTTCATCCCTCTGGGCAACCACTTGGACAAGGGCTAGGCAGAGCACACGAACAAAGTTCTGAACTGCTATCAACGTCGGCAAGTCATTTGCACGCTGTGATTTCGGCCTCTGTCTTGCAAATAAGGCAGGGCCAAATGCTCCACTCGCCGATTCCATTGTCAAATCCTAAGTCGCTGCAGAAAGCGCTAAAGCTCCCCACAAGCAAAACATCTGAGCAGTAGCAAATAGCAATGCAGCAAGGCCAGGACTGAGGCCATGCAAAAGTTTGCAGAACACCGCACAGCTCCACAGCTCAGCAGTTCAGCGCAGCACGGACTGCGAGCTTGCCTTTGACCACCGATGGTCCAACTACCTCAAACCGCGATTTGCAGAAAATATCCGCTTCAGAAAATGTTGACCTCGCGCTTTGATGCACGACAAACGCTTCCCAGATCAGCTTCCCGCTGTACCCTCGTCGCCCAACCAAAGCTCCTGCCAACAGAAATTCACAACTACCCATGGTCTGAATAGCAGAAAACGTAGAGTACCTTTGCCTTCTGCTCGCAAGTTGCACACGGGGCCGTGTCTGCAACACTGTGCGGCTGCAGCTGCAGTCCAGCTTGACTTTGTCACGCGGACTGACAATCACTAGACGGGTTGGCTTGGCCAGCCGCTTTGATAACCGGAGCTAAGTCTCCAACACTGTTACAAAAAGGATAGGGCACCTTGACAAAGAGCCCCTCTGTCGGGGTTCAGATGTGCCTTGAAGGTCTAGAGTCTAGACAATGGAAGACACAATGGCCACCGCCCTCGCCATCCACGGCGAAAGCGGCCCATCAAATGTGAGCAAGTAGCATTGCCCCGCCAGGCAGCACGAAACTCTTCCTCCGCACCTCTTTGTTGTGCATAACCTGAGACCCAGGTGCATCGTGCAGCCAACATGATGCACATTTGCGCCTGATTTATGACCTTTGCTTTACAGACTGAGGGCCGAGCATCTACCGAGTCGTTTGCTCGCCGGAGGTGCAGGACCTTTGGTGCTGGCCGTTTGCTCTGGCTCTGTGGGTCCTGGTTGAGCTTCCGGGGCTGGGGGTCAGGAAGCAGCACGCCCAAGCTGGGCTGTCGCACAGGGACGAGCCCACTGGGCCTCCAGCGTGGTGTGGCCCTTGGCCGTAAGTCTGGCGCACTGGGGCTCGCAACAGGAGTTCGAGGCTGCGGTTTGGTGATACCGTTGGCTTCCAAATACTGTAGCAGATCGCGTCGAACGGTCTCAGACTGTGGAGGGTGCATCATGCCCAGATGAACTGGAGCTTGCTGGTAGGCCCGGATGCCGGCCTTCTGTACATACGGCCGTGGCTGGCTAAACCAGGAGCCAGCACCCTCCATTTGCTGAAAAGTTGGTGTCTGCTGTGGCGTGCATTGCGCACTACGAGCCTTGAAGACCTCGAAAGTTGATGCCATCTCTGCAAGCTAGCAGCCACCTACATGGCATCATCTCTGACGTTTCTGAAGGTTCGCAGCTCTACGTCTGCAACCTAGCGCAAGTGGAGCCAAAAAAATGCAAAGTTTGGAAGCATGGAATCCAAGAGGAGGACGCCTGCTACTGAATTACCAGGCCGACTGCTTGACAACCATGGCCTACTGTCATCCCTTGCCAAGGGAAACTGTTGCCAGCCTGGTGTGGCTGCTGGGAAGGTGGATTGAGCAGGGTGATTAAAGACTTCACCTCAAATCCCGGTGGAGTGCTGAAATCAGGCTTTGCCAGCAGATTAAGTTAAGATGTCGAGATAGGCTAGGGCCAGCACCCGGCACCCCCAGCTGAAGCCAAATATTCCAGCAGCCCGCGCTGCCCCGAATTGAGCTGGCTGACCTGGGCAGGGTGACGCAAATCCTGGAGCTTCCTCTAACATTCATGATTCAAGTCAAAACTGGGAACTATCCGTTACCCCATAACCCGATGAAATCCTCACGCACACTCAATCTGGAAGTGGCAAGGTCCAGGCTGATCTGGAATGGCGAAAGCCACCTGCCATTCTCGTCCACTAAGCCCAACGGGACGGTTCCCAGGCCAACAAAGCTTGCTTGGTTACCATACCTCGTCTTAGTTTTGACAAAGAACTTCTGCGCACAAAAACCTGTGGGAAAAATAGCTCCATCTTCATGAAAATTACGATTTCAGGAATCATTGGCAACAGTAACAGTAGCGCGTAGCCGCTCCAACAAGCCCAGGGCACCAGCAAACGCCCTTTGGGAACTGGACCTGAGCAGCAATGTCAGTCACGCGGGTTAGGGTTTCAACCCATAGGTTGCAGCGCGCGACATGGAACGCCCCGGAACAAGGATAAACAGGGGATTCAGGTAGTCCTTGTAAGGCCTCACAAGACGAGCGCAAACCTGGATAAGTGGCTCGACCTTCAGGCTTCTCTTCCTCAGCGCAACTGCCCTCGATCATCATCACAGATCAGTCCATGGCGGCATCATCCTGTTGCACCGTTCATATCACTGACACAGACTTAGCTCTGATCAGCCCTCATACTTTGTCTCCAAATTTTCTCCAGCGTGATGACGATGCTTTGAACTGAAATCGGGGCACGAGTCTTTGCCACTTCTGTGGCTTAACGTTTAGGGTTGGGGCAGTCAGAGGACTGAAGCGTAGTGACCTTCTCTCAGGGTCATGCTGTGGTGGACCTATCCTCCAAGGTCTTCTAAGCTCTGAGTTGTGGGCCTGGATTTTGGAGCCCCGAAACCAAGTGCCAGACCAACAGACGGAGGTCCACTTCGGCTCCGAAGCGACGCTCCACCTTACAAAATCGTAGATTCTTCATGTGCTCTTCTTGCGTGGTTCCGTACACAGATGATAGTCGGGGTCCCGACATTCCCTCTCCGCCACTTCATGTCATTACAACGTCAGTCAACCCAAATTCGAATCCAATCTCAAGCTACTGTATTCAATGGCCAGCTCGGCGAGCCGAAAACGGATTGTCGGGCATGCATTGGGGACCCTGTTCCGGAGGAAGAACTACCACTGCCATCCTCCAAGAAAAGTGCCTACTTGCTCGGATCCAGAGAAATCTAATTCTGGGGTGTGTTCGCGTGTACCACACATTGCGTGGGTCTCAGCTGCGGACTGCACCAACGATGTTGCCCTCCTGACCCAGTTCCATGAGGAGCCTGGCATGACAAGGTATCAGGCTGTCCATCACAAGAGGACTGGATGAAGATGGCAATGCTGACACGGCGTAGCCAGTGCAAAGGATCATTTGCGGCACGTCAGATCGTCAAAGCAGGCTGGAGCCGCGTCTGGTTTTGCGCCTCTCTGGAAATGAGCGTCACCTGGCAGCTTACGGTGGTGTCAAGGCCCTGCCACTGCGGGGTTTAGAAGCGTTTAGAACGAGCTGGATGGACTGCTCTTTCGCCGACGGTGTAGCCGCCGGGCAGCGTGCGCTGAGGTAGCGGGGGCACCTGCACAGGCCCAAGCAGTCACCGCCTGGGCTTGCTTTTACCAAGCTCAGCCTTGACGCCCTCACCATCTGACAGCTCCGCCGTGGCGGGCTTGTCTGGGACCTGCCACACGGAAACTGTAGGAGACGGTCTGCATCTGAGCAGTGTCATCCCCACCTTCTTGCGATGCTCACCGGCCTTTGGTTCCTTGACCTACATCAAACAAAGTACAACTGCTTGGTGGAGCGCATCTCAAACATGACCAAAGGAAAATCCTATAAGGCTTGCACACTGGTCAGCAGCTCCTTGGCTTCCAGTGCCTGTCGAAACAAATCGGTTCACCGATTTCGCGAGGGTTCAGATCGTGTCTGTGAGCTGTGGCAAAATCCATTTTGATCGCTGCGGTTGCGATCGGTTCGGAGATGTACTTTTTCCATCAGCAACAAAAAGCTACACCTCATGTGCAGCCAGTTGCGAAAATTGCCGGCGCATCAGGATGTTCGGCTCTTTCAAGCCTTGTTCAGGAAGAAGTAAGCTCCAATCGCCAATCCGAGGACAAGAATGGCAGGCACGAATGCCCCCAAACCGCCGCCACCACCAGACCTCATTGCTGCCTCTGCATGCTTGGGGACCAGCTTCGTCTCGATCCCCTCTTCTTCTGCGGCACTTTCCATGTAGCCAATGATCAGCCTCTTAGGAAATCTTATTGGCGCAGGCCACGTGACTGACATGACTTGGTTCTCTGATTTCCAGGAGTTCAGGTTTCTGTGCAGTTGGGAAGCTTGCTGGCCCAGTCTCGAGCACTGTCGCTGTGCGAGATGTCCTCGAAGTCCTGCGTGCCGTCCTGCGAAGGAGGCTTTTTCAGTTAAGCTCTCATGCTTTTCATGCGGGGCAACTCTGGCATTCCTATTTTTTTCGCAGCCGGCCTTTCCAGCCAGTGCGGTCACAACATCGGGGCCGCCTGGGTGTTCGTCCAAGAAATCCTAGCAGGAAGCCGATGCACATGCTGCAGCTCTGTCTAGATGGATGGGTGAGCCCTGGGGAGCCTTGGACAAGTTCAGCACCAAGCCATGGCAGGCCATCCAAGCGTCATCTTCTGAGCTGTGCTTCTGAAGCTCCGCCTCAATCAGGGACACCCCCTTGAGAAGACTTGCGGCTCAGGACTGAGCCCAATGAAGGCTTGACGCGAAAGGTGCAGGACACACAGCCTCGGTGATCTTGCGCCTGGCCTTTCCTTCCGTCATGATTAGAAGCCTTTTGCTATGCACCCGTCCTCTTTGAGCAAAAGCAGCTGCGGAAACAAGCGTAAAAGAGCCCTCGCCTTCTAGAAATGAAAGTGTGGCAGCTGCAAGCAGATCAAGCAGCTAGGCCCTGATGCATGTCACATCACCGAATGAGCGTTGGCCTGGCTTCCTTCACTGCTGACGTTGCTCCTGGACAGGCTTAACAGAGTCGCTTAGGAGCTCATCTGAAGGATCTAAGTTCTCGGCCTCTTATCAATGCCGCCCAGATTGGCGGTGTTCGCCCGCATGAGCTTAGCTCTTCTCTGGGGCCTCAGACATTCCGTGCCCAACCCACGGCATCTGCATCTTCCATTCCATCAGATTTGTGTCAAGCTTAGGCCAATGTGCAGGAAACTTTGGACTGGACTGAGCCAACCCTTGTCCTGTCTTGACTGGTATGGTCACCATTCCAAAACGTATGGTTAAGGCTTGAGCGTCTGTTTGCTGCTTTGCTTTCACAGGTTGACAACACCCAACTTGAGGCTTATACTGTTAAGCGTAAACGACTTGCCAGTGACCTGAGTAACAACTCTCCTTCGGTGGTATCCTCCGGAATCTACACGGGCAGCTATACTACACGGCCAACTTTCGACAGTCTCACAACGCTCACTATGTCGTCACCTCCCTGCAGCACCGAAAGCACGACACCACAGCCTACAGCAGCGTCTGTCTCCCTTCTTCTCCAGGTTATGTCATAATATGTGTCCCTGGGAAACATTCTTTCTGTCCTTCTTTCACGGCTGTGCCCCCCTCCCACGAAGGGGGACCGGGGAATTGCCCCGAGCAGGTCGGGTCCGGGATTGGAATGGAAGGTGTTCCCAACACCGGTTGTCTCACGTCGCCACCGAGGCTCGGATTCTGGATGTCCGCCCACCGGAATACTGTTAAGTTTTTTTTTCTCGGCCAATTGCGATAGCTATTACATTTACAGTGCCACGTTCCTTCCGGCAGGCTTTTTTCCTTCATCCCTTCTCTAGGTGGAAGTGACACTGAAGCTGGGAGGGCTACACACTGTCTATGAAGCACAGCAGGAGAAACCATTCATCGCCCACTCGCGACACACCCCTAAGCATCCTACTCGTGCTCCATTATATCCTCACAAACATAAGGTCAGCCACCCCCACTCTCAGCTGAGCGACGATTGCCTTCCTACAAGTAGCTGTCTTGGGCCTTGCCCCCTAGAAGACATTGTTCGGGCAAAGACTTAAGTAATCACCTCCATGATACATATTACATCATTTCGTTGCCTGTCGAATGCTTCGCCGGTGCAAAGACACCATATTCACCGCGTCCCTGGTCGTCATTAGCGGCTCAAATCACAGGATGGATTCATTCGGCGTTGTCCCCTTCGCTCCCCTTTGGACCTCTCAGCGTAATTACACTCTAGCCTTCCTCAGGATCATTAGTCATTAGTCTTTACTTAGCTGGGTTCCACGGCCAACAGAGTGTTGTCACTGACCCCACAGCCTCACTGTGCAAGATTGCCTCCGTACCCGTCATTTGCCGAACTCACACACGATGTTCCACCCTGCTGGAAGTGTCGAAGTGCCGGTCGGCTCAGTGACAGTGTCACTGATAACTCTTTGCGCTTTTGTACAGATCGTACCACGAAACGCTTCTTGCCCCCCCAGTCACTTTCTTCTCCTGCACCTCATTCAGTTTGACCGGATGCCTAACTTCCCTGTTTAACAACTTTTGAAACATGATGCTGCCAGCGTGCGGTGGCTCACCTCCCAATGTCCCAATGAAATTGATAAACATAGCTGTATAGAGCGAAGCCTCACTCAGAAGGTTGTTTGCTAAAACTTTTTCACTGGTCGGAGTCCGGACGGATAGAACGAGTGTCTCGGAAATGCAAAGAAATTTGTAAGACAAGGTCTCACCTCCCTCTTCTTCTTGTCACCGCTGCATACCCCCGGGAAGACGGACCGCGGCAACGCCATAGGCTGGCAAGTTGGATCCTCGCTGGTCCGGCCGGGGAAGCCCGGAGCTCTGTCTCTCTCTTCCTTTCAGGGCTCTCTCTCTCTCTCTTCTTCTTCTGGCTTTGCCCACTCCCTAAGGAGTGAGCCAGGGCTACGCCCTGAAGCCGCGCAGGGGTCCAAGAGTCAAGTCGCCACAAGAGAGGCCCACTAGACAACATTCGGGACAGAGACCTCTCCCCATATCCAGCTTGCTGCGAAAATTCCCCCGCCCTGCCGGTCTTCTCAACTCAAAATACAAATAGCATACTTAAGAACTATCTCATCCGGCTTCTCTTTCACTACACTGCACTCCTGGCAGCATAGCAAAAGGTTCTGGGGCATGTTCCCATGCGAGCGGGTGTCCGGTTAAGGAGAGCTCTCTCACTCTTTCTTTCTTTCTTTCTTTCGTTCAGGCTGTGGAGAAGGGGGGGACCCCCTCTCCGGGCTTCATTGCCCAGCCCGTGTTGGGCCTGATTGGTCACTGCAATCCCTCGGTGCTCTCTCACTCTTCTTCTTCTTCTACAGGCTATGCGACACCCGGAGGTGTCGCGGAGGCGAACCTCCAGCCCAAATGTCCGGGGTTCCTGGCTGGGATGGTTCGGCGTTCACCAGATCGTTGCACAGAAAGACCTTATTCCCCTAGTGACTTTACCCCGTCTGGTGCGCCTTTCCTTTCCCGGG